GCTGCTATTTCAGCGGTGCAAATCTGTAGGTTGTTTGGTAATCTTGCCGCAAAATGAATTTTTAAGTCGGGGCTGTATACTCCGATACCCGTTTTTATGTGGATGGATTTATCTTGGATGCATCTGTGTAAATAATATTGAATTTTCTTTGTTTAAAAGTTTCGATAATTGGCATGATGTTTATATTGTTGTTAGGATTGTTTTTACTAAGTTCTAGATCTATAAGGTCGATTTCTGCAAATTGGTAGGAATATTCGATTTCGAAGCATGGTAGTAAACAATGTCTTCTGCCTATGTTGATGTACTCCTTTAGGAGGGGGAGGGATTGTATTATATAGGGTAGGGATTTATTTCTCCAGTATGTAGTTGGACGAGAACAATCGATTTTTAAAGAAGAAATTACTTAAATTATAGGGTGTGATTTGTATCTTAGAATTTTTAATATCAATTTGCTGGTTAGCCAAATTCGTCTTTCATTTAACGGAAGTTCCGCACACTCCGCAAGTACTACATTGGTGGGAGTAGATCTCATTAGTCCTGTTATTGTTCTGAGGGCTTTAAACTGGATGGTGTTCAATTTGTTATTTAGGGATTTTTGAATGGGGCTAAATAGTATGCTACCATGATCTAGATGTGATCTAACAATTCCAGTATATAGTATATGTAGGATCTTAGGGTCCGCCCCCCACCATACTCTAGAGACGGCTCTTAGGACATTTATGCCTTGGTTGGCTTTTGCGATTATTTTATTAACTTGTTGTTTCCAGTTAAGATTTTCTTCAAGAATGATTCCTAAATATTTTACAGAGGATTTTCTTGATATTATTTTGTCGCCCATCATGACTGGTGGTGGAGTGACTCTAGATTTTCTCTTTTTGAACCAGATATATTCAGATTTCTCAGCCGAGCAGGATAGTTGGTGATCATTTAGCCACTTTTCCAACTTCCTCAACGTATTGTTTATTGTATGTACCATAGTGTGTATGTTATTTCCCTTGGTAAAAAGCACGAGATCATCCGCGTATGAAAGCAGGTATAAGTCCTCTGGGATTATTTTAAATATTGTATGTATGTATATATTAAATAAAAGTGGGCTTAGTGGTGATCCCTGAGCAATTCCATTCCTGACCACTGCCGGGCCATATGTTTCTCCATTGTTATATATCATATATATATATATGTATTTATTTGATAAAAAAATAATGTCTAAGTTTCAATAAAAATTCTAACCTCAAAATTTTTCAGGAAATAATTAGCAAAATTTCAGATAATTTGAATAAATAATGCTCTACAACTAATTGAATAATAACAATCCTACCTTTTCTAATAATAATAATACATAATACTTACTGATTTGTTAAAATCCTCGGCACAGGAACACTTCAAAATAAGAGAAACACGACAATAAACAAAAAACATAATTTTTAACAGAACTTGGTAAATATATTTACCACTTAATTTTCAATTGTCAATGATGCCAACCTAGGTATTAAAAATTAAATGGTAAATATGTTTACCAGTGTGCCTTATTTATCCTATAAAAACCTCCTATAGTGCATAAGGGTCACTTTTTCTGCAAATTTCCTATATTTTGAACCATATGTGAGGTGGTAAATTATTATACCACAGACCTATAAACTGGTGACTAAAATTCCGTTATTTACACTTATTACATAATATACCATTATAAATATAGCATTTTAAGGATATATTTTGTGAAATACATTTTGCTCGTAAACGCCATAATAGAATAAATAATTATTAGGAGCATTCAACGGTACTTGGTAATTTCTAGTCCATACGCAGTTAATAATAATATTTTAAAATAAATTTAATTACGTGTGGTTCTTACTCACAATTTTAATTGTGACGGTAGGGACAAAAATTACAGAGTATCGTGGTTGCTAAATTACTAAATTATTTCATATATTACCAAACTTTAACAATTATTAAATAGATTAATTGTTCATTTTAGTAATATGAAATAATTTATTAATAGGACATTTCACGATACACGTGAATTTTTGTCACTCTTATTTTACCTAATAACTCAACTTAACCACGTTGTTTTAGGTTCACTTTTCGTACTAAAATTAAACTTAATTCAATTTAAATGGTAAAAACCAAGGCATCTGGAAGCTATCTAAAATTAACATGCAGATCTGACATCTGAAATAACGGAGAAAGAGGTTTATGTAAAAACAAAAGAAGATCGATAATTTAAAATCAAAACCTCAAATAAAAATATTATTTGAAAAAAGTGTTAGTCTGGATTATACGACCTCTATTAAATTATAGACCTTCTTTTGTTCTTACATAACAGTCCAAAAAGAAACGCACTGGAGGTTCGTGGAACAAGAGTGTACAGTTAAGGTGCGATTTCGTTGCGACGTCCAGCGTTCGCGGCCCGCCGCGGCGTCCAGCCGTCGAGCACTGCTATAATGCATTGCAATGGCAGCGATTTCGTTAACGCGGCTCGTCTGGAAGACGCAGCAGCCCGCCGTCGACGGCTACGTCTTGACTGCTCAAAAACAAGTCTAGACGCGAACGCTAACCAAGTTTTTCCAGTTTAAATTTATGGAGAGAGAAATAAATGTTATAATAGTAAATTTATTAGTGAAAATGTCCAAAAATTGTACTTGTGTTGATGACGAAATATTAATATAAGTGTTAAATCAAGTTTTTCCTTCGGGCAAATTGGAATTTTTACACTAGTTGAGGACTGCTTTTTTAAATCTTTACAAATAAGAGTTAAAACAAAATCCAATTGCTCTTTATTAAGTCAAAAAAAGCCACAGAACTTTTCATTATCTGCTTCAAGATGGTTTTTCATTAGAACTTTATAATATCCTTTTTGGCTTTTGGAAGTGTATAATTCGTCAGTTTCTTTTCTTAATAACATAGAAATTTCATAATCTTCTTCATCTTCAAGCAAAAATATTGCCAATGTTTTCGGATCCATTTTTCTTCACTCGCTTCAAAATATGACAAACGAATGCTATAATTTTAGATAATTTTAATGTAGACGCCCTCGAACGCTGGAGAAAATAACAAGAAGTTGATTAAATGTCGTAACAATCTATGGCAAAGAAGCAGAGTCTCGGCCAAACAAAACTACATAGATTAAATGTCGTATAGACCAAAAAAAGCCCTAAACACCAAGATTGGGTCGATGATTAGTTCGGTCGAGTTTTGTCATATACTTACGGGTACTGTCCGTTCAGGCTAAGTTGAGCGGTCTAAGGAATGTCACCCCGTCCATCATCTCTATGTTCAGGCACAATTAAATACATGTATTTCGGTAGCCGCTCTGTACGAACAAACGGCAAGCCGCGGCACTGATAAATCATCTTCTTGTTACCGAAATCTCGCGACGATTCGATGTTTAATTTAATTAACGGCCACATGATCCCCCACCAAAGCGCTCAACTTAGCCTGAACGGACTGTACGTATATGAGTTTTGTTCTCGGACAAGGGCCGTTTCTGCAAAAATTTGATTGATGATAGCAAAAGAGTGTATTGATGTACTGATCAATTGTTTTTGCTATGAGCTCCACATGGTGATAGGTATCAATATATTATATAATATTATTAACTATATTATATTTATATTACAAAAACCTGCCCAGAAAAATCTACCTTCGTTATTTAAAAAGATACAGAGGATACATATTTTTTTTTAATTGCATACTAATAAATTGGTAGATTTATTCTTAATCATCATGACAACAAACAACAATATTAAAAAGGATTAAATTCGTTTACTTAGAGCATATTTAATTTACGTCAGACTCGAAAGAAGCAAATTCCTGTATTTGCTTCCCTATCAGGAACTAAAAAAAACAGATTTATTCTATAAAAAAACTAACTAATATTAACATTAAATTGCCACACTGACTAAATTATTTGCATTTTTAAGCATTCTCCAAACACAGCATACATACTTAGTGAGTAATACTTACTAAAGTAATACATTTTAATATTTAACAGAATCTAATTTTGAATTTTAACTGTCGGACATTGTCTATAATGTGATGTTAACAGATAAAAATCAATTAACCAATTATTTGTTGTGATAATCAATTCTTGCACACAGAGCTGTGCGGTACTCGAGTACAAGTACTCAAACACTGTACTCCAAGTTCTTTCAGTGTACTCGGTACTCAGTCCCGAGTACTTTAATTTGAATGTACTTATACTTGTACTTGATACATTTAAGATTGCAAAAATGTACTCGAGGACTTTCCCGTGTACTCGAGCACTTCGAGTACATCCAAAGTATGCAATGAGTACATTTTTATGCGGTGGGGTTGGCGTGCAAATACGTGCTTGGGTGTTGAAAATTTGGCAACACTGCTCAGACTTGTCAAATTACGGACATGCTGCCTGAGGCAGCCTCAGCCAGCCTGCCTTACACGACAGACTTAAGATAGCCCCAATCAATAAATAAAAAGACACAGGAAAGAGCATTGAACAAAAGGTTTTTACTTATGTACGAAATGTAATTTTGTTTATATTTTGGTAGAAAATAAAATAATTATTGCATTTAGTATTATAATTTTATTTTATATTTACATTTAGTATTATCAACGGTATTATTTTACTAGGAGGTCACTTTATTTTAACGATTAACTAACTTCAGACCGTGACTAAAACATGTTGCTAACTCCAGCCCGTGACTAAAACGCCATAAAGCCACAACTTGTCAATGTGTATTTAAACATGTATGTGGTTGGTGGAAGTAGAAAAAGAATATTAAAAAAAATAAATGACCTTGTATATCAAGTCAAATATTCGTTTACCGTTAATGCAGCAGCCTAGAAAAGCTGACCAAATAAATAGTTTAAGTACTACTATATAGTAGTATAGTTATATTAACGGTATATATAGTCTACTAGTTCTAGAATTGTCTTTACAATTGCCTGAATATTATTATTTTTATATTTAATATGCCTCTGGGGCGATGGAAGGAATTTAAAAAATATTATTTTTTTTCACCAAAATATTTATTTTTATCATACACAAGTTTTCTATATACAGGCATTTTTAATTATAAAAATATTCATATTTCGCACTACCCTGCTAAATTTTATTTTCTAAAACAATACTTATCACAAATATTAGGTACCCTTTTACTACTGATTGTGAGATTCTTGTTCATAAAATAACTGGTATATAATTTATATATTAGTAACAATCGAATGAGCCTCGGCCCAAAAACTTATACAAAGTGTCATAGAAAAAAATATCTTTAAGATCCTCGATAGCTACATTTAAGGTATTGTTGATATTTAAGTACGGAAGTAATAAGCCATTGCTGGAAACTTTTGGCCATTTTATACCCTGAAGAATAAGATCAAATTTTGGTGTGGGAGTCCTAAAACGAGTTTTAAAAAAATGTTTAAAAATTTTTAATGCTGTATTAAATTTACCCATGTATGGCAAAATTTGTCCACAATTTTACAATTCTTCGGCTAGCTAAGAGATCTGCTGTTTTTATATTTGTTAATCCTTCTCTACCAAAAATATATGGCACATCTTCGGCATGTCCAACACCTAAATTATAAAAAAATAAAGAATATTAAAAAATATATATATATATATATATATATTGTCTTACCATTGTGGGGTCGTACTCCAGGATATCCCAATTGTCCCATATGAGAAAACACATAGTAATATGTATCGACATATCGAGCTTGTAATTGTATGGTTTTGATAACACATTTATTGAATTGGTCCATGCTTATAAACTATAAAATATTTGTTTAAATATGTATTTAATTTTTTTTTATTACCTGTGGTAAGTTATTCATGGTCATGTGTTCCGTTCCAAAATACCTATTGTAAATCAAATTTCCAGAAATAAATTTATTATTTGATGAGGCATTCATTGACACGGGTGTTAGCTCTGCTTTATTGTGTTCGTATTTTTGTACATACATCATTAATATATCTAAACAATAAAATAAACAAGGGGTTTAAAAACACTTAAACATTCCTTATACTATGACAAAAAAATGAGTTAAAATCCCAAATCTTTATATTAATTTAAAAGTTTAAAATATAAAATTTTAAAAGACAGGTACATTTTTTTCATTGTTTTTCCTGCACATATGCAGTATATATAGTATCTACAGTGAAACAAAAAACATCTTACGTACAGGGAAGTGATAAGTGACAGCATACCTCGCAGAATAACCACCTGTCAATAGGAAGAAACTTACATGAAGAACTTTTGAGGCTAACCAGGAGTGGAGAGGGCTATCATCTGCAAAAACCGGTAAGTACTCTTTACTAACCGCATGCCCTTATACGCAAAATTGCAACATAAACCACGTATACCTTTACTTCCCAAAGGGCAGTTTTTTCCGCGTTAACACAACCACTAGGAAAAAAAACAAATACAAATAGTAGGTATTAATAAACTAAGTACCTACTAAGACAATAGTAACAAAAAAAGTAAAAAAAAACATAATTATTGCGTTAGTATTTCGTATAGCGGTCATTTACTGCAATATCGAAGCAGTGTTTATAAATAAACTAACAATTAAGTGAGAACGTAAACTTAAGAGACCTACTCCAAAAACAGTGTTTCAATCTAAACGAGACAAACATCTGACACTTAAAAAGACATTTAAGGAACAGGCAATAAATTAAGAACTTAAGAACAAACTAAATACAGAAAAGTCAATGCACCCGTATAAAGGGTAATACCGATGACTAATTAATGAAATACGCACAGTGGGGTAAAATAAATCTGTTGACTATATTTTCAGCTAGGCTAAATATGGTTTAATCATCGTGGACGGTACTACTATATAGATGTTTCCTATTTTTTTCTTATTTTTCAGCCTAGTTAAATATCTACTGGCTGAAGCTTCTATGAAGACTAGAAATGACCGTCGACTTAGGTTCTTTTTAACTTTTAAATTGTCGAGGATCAGCCTTAAATAGAAAAAGTTTGAATATACCTAAGCTTATGGTTTTCTTCCGGTGTAAAATGCTCGAGCTTCGCGCCATATTTCAACAAAAAAAGGCCTTATCTCCTTTGCTAGGTCTCGGAAAACGAGCTAAGAAATCCGAAGGTCATCTGCTGTTTCTTGTTGTCTCCGGCGTTAAGGAAACAAAAATAATTTTGCAATAAAAATAATCAATTTAATGTTCAATTTAAAAAAATTAAAATTAAATTAATATAAGGGCTGGAATTTTAACTAAACACCTTAAACTAACCTTTGGAACTAAATGCACTTAAAGCTTCTAAAGAATTGTGACCAATAATAGTAGGGACTTTAGCAAATTCTCCTTTTGATAACATATCCTGGCTTCTGCCTGTCATAAAAGCTTCTTCCATCAAAGGCTCAATAACCGGACCCATCGGTAGGCCATCCAAAGCATTACCAATTACTAATTTCTAAATAATTACGTGTAAAAATACATAATTATACATAAATCGTATATTAAACTTACTTCTTCGGTTATAACTGTTGCAGCTCTCTGTAGTTGTTTAGCAGGAACTTTCCTAAGCTCTTGAAGAATATCAATAGAATTGTTACTGTTAATTTTAAATTTTTTGGCAAGATTTAAAGCAAACTCAGGACTTCCTCTTGTAAGGGCCCATTGACATAAACTAGTGCCGCTTTGCATTATCGCTTTATGGAATAATCCTACAAGAAGCGTAATTAATTAATACGGATTAATTTATATTAAATTTACCTCTTGACATTGGTGATAATAGATGATATGAAACACTAGCTGCTCCAGCACTTTCACCAAAGATTGTTACCTCATTTGGATCACCCTTGAAAGAACGTATATTTCTTTTTACCCATTTCAAAGCTAAAACCTGATCCTTAAGGCCATAGTTTCCAGGAGCTTCAGCATTTCCCAAACTAAGAAAACCAGTAATACCAAGTCTATATTGTACATAAACTAATACAACACATTCTCTCATTATGTATTCAGGATTTAATGACTTTATGTTAGCAGTACCCTCAATGAATGCTCCTCCATGTATCCACACCATTACTGGTAATACATTTGGGCAGTTCTATAAAGATTTTGGTTAGCTTAATCTGATGTTGACTTCAAAGACTTTATTATCAAAAATATATTATTATTTTAAGCTATTAGTTAAGAGTCATTTGCTCTACGTATCAAAAATCAGATAATCAAAGTTAATAATAATTTCTTAGGAATTCTTTAACTTTAGGCTGACCTATACATTATTGCAGCAGGAATTTAAATGTGATTTTTGATACTCGACTGTACAAATTGAAAAAATAACAATATTTTTAAGAAAATTGAATGATCAAACTGTATTATATTTACATTATTGATAGGAGAGAACACTTCAACACATAAGCAGTCTTCAGATCCACTACCATCTGATTGTATGCATTGATTACAACTGATATTGGCTATGAGAATATTATTCCACTTATCAATAGGCTCTGGTTTCTAAAAAATAAACAAATTTTTACAACACATATTAACAACTACATTAAGTGTTTAATTACCTTAAATCTTAATTCATTTATTGGAGGTTTGGCATAGTGTATACCTTGCCAAGCAATAAAAATACTTGTCTTTGTGTTTACAATATGTCCCATTAATAATCCTTCATCAGTTTTTACAAGAAGATTCTACAAAATTACTATATCATAAAATAAAAATTTTTATTACACAATTTTCTTACTAGGCCGTCTATAATTTCACTAGCTTTATTTTTTAGAATAAAACTTAAAGTAAATATAAAAATTATTTGATTCATTACGAAGCGCGATTACTAAATAAAACTAATAAATCCAAGGTATATATATATAGGAATAGGTAGGTTACTATATCAGTTGTTTACAATTTTTTCTACGCCTCTTAAGATTTGTTGCGATATAAATTTATTTTAATTAAAATAAATAAGATGTAAACTTAAAAAAATATATAATTTTGCCGTGGCTCTTGCCTATACACAGGGTAACACAAACTCAGGAAGCTCTTAAGTAAAAAATTTTTATATACAAAGGTCCTAACTCAGAGCATACAAAATAGATATATTGTATTATTTTTAGAAAATAAGACGAAATTAGCCAATTAGACAATTAACCTTAATAATTTCTATTAGTCACGTAGCTTTGATGTGTGGAGCATACATAGTACATATTATTAGGGCATATTTTTAAGACATGGCAAGAAGATTTCTTCTCGGATCTAGTTAAAGCCAAAGTTTAGCTACACCCAGACCCGTAACTAGTGCTAGTGGAGGCAGTGCAGTGCGCCGGGGCCATCTATGTTAAGGGGCCTCCAGAACCTTGTGAAGTAATATACCTAACCTTAAAAATTATTTAAAACAAATTGGGTTAAAATTTCTTGGAATTGAGCAATTTTGAGGTCGAATTCGGATTTAGAATATAAAAACATAGTCTGGTTTCTGTTTAAAAATGTTGTAGGCCCGTTTAATTTTTAATCTAGAACTGCAATGAGTAGGCCCGTGATTTGAAAAAATACCTACATTACTTAAGTTAAAATATAAGTTCGCTAGAAAAAGTCTCCTAATCAATTTTTTTTAGGGTGACAAAAGATATCGTTTTGAAATTTGTAAAGCGTTTATAATCCAACTAAGCCTATTTTTCTAAAATATTGTAACGTTTTTAACTGTTCGTAGTGTGAATGAAAACACGCACTGGTTAATTAACGAACTAAACTATTTATTTAATAACTTAACTACACTTAAAACACTATAAAACTAACTAAACACTTAACTACTAATTATTTATATCACTACTAGTTTATTTATTTGCACTTATATTTATTTATTTCTTCGCGAGTACCAAAGCTCAACTGACTGCTCTGTGCTGCTCCGTTTCTTATAAATTCAGCGCCCAAGTCTTCTGGAACATTCTAGCGAGCTCCACACTCTCAATTGTTCGAGCGCTGACTCACCAGCGATGACTCATCACTCCTATATCCAGAGCCGTACTCGCTACATTGCCCCCGTCTTAAAACATTTTCGTCCCGAAAATGGTCCTCAGCTCCATGGCGATATTTGCATAGAGATCCAAACTTGCAATGTGACGTCCTATAGAAGTAGCAGTTCACGGCAACAGACAAGAATGTGTATGCCACTAAATCTAAAGATAACTTCCACCATACTTCTAATTATTCTCCAGTCCAAACCGTCAAGTCCACAAGCAATCTTTGGTATCGCCAGGTTCATGATGTCCTTGGATAAAAGGGCATCCCTCAATTTATTTAAGGCATTCCATATGTCACGGTAGTTTGGCTTCTGATGGGAGAGCTGCTTCGTTACCAGATAGAAGATACTTCGGTTGCCTATCTCCTCTTTATCCACAATTTCAAGCACCTCTCCAACTTTGGGATTCTGCGTTCGTAGATATTCGACCCGTCCAAACTTGTTTTTAAATACAACCGCTATTCCCCTGGACATCCTAAGGTCTTCTGCAACACAGTGAGCCAAGGAGTAATCGGCCGATACCGTGAACAGATCTTTTTGTTCTTCTCGAGTGACACCATACCGAGCTTTTTTACCGCTCGAATATAAATACATAAAGTCTTCAAAAGGCAAGTCGTCTTCCGGCGGATTAACTCTCCTTACTCTAGCATCGTCTATTTGATCATTGTTTCCAGCGTAAGGGGCCAATCGGTTGAAATGGATCCCTTTCGGCTTTCCTCTTGGTTGTTTCCTGATCCTGTAGATGATGTCATTTATTCGATCCATGACGTCGTATGGTCCCTCCCAAGAAGTCTGCAGCTTCGGTGAATAACCACGACGGCGCTGAGGGTTGTATAACCAAACTAGGTCTCCAGGTTGAAATCCTTCATTTTCCGCCTTGATGTCATATGCCTCTTGCATTCTATCTGGCACTCTGGATGTTTAAACGAACTCGGCTGTGAATGTCGCTCATTTTCCTACGTAAATTGCTAACGTAATTTTCTCCAGCAATATCTTCCCCTGGTAGGCAACCAAACCTCAGGTCACAAGGTAAACGAAGTTCACGTCCCATAACAATGCTAGCGGGTGTCTGGCCGGTTGTATCGTGGATAGAAGACGCCAACAGGAACAGATGGAGGAAGCGGTCCCAGTCTCTTTGGTGATCAGAGACTACCTTAACTACTTAACTTAACTACACTTAAAACACTAAAACTAACTAAACACTTAACTACTAATTTTTTATATTACTACTAGTTTATTTATTTGCACTTATATTTATTTATTTCTTCGCGAGTACCAAAGCTCAACTGACTGCTCTGTGCTGCTCCGTTTCTTATATATTCAGCGCCCAAGTCTTCTGAAACATTCCAGCGAGCTCCACACTCTCGATTGTTCGAGCGATGACTCATCGCCGATGAGTCATCACTCCTATATCCAGAGCCGTACTCGCTACAATATTTTATACATCAATATTGTTATTTTAAATAGAACACCCCATATATTTTACATTTTTAAATTCTACATAAAATTATCAGTAAAATTACTGTACAATGTCCTATACCGTAACTGAATAGTTTTCAAGTTATTATTTTTTTCGTTAAAATTTGACAAATGCGCGTCAATCAAAAATAGCTTATAACTTTTTTCTTTTAGGTTTGCGGAAATGGGGGTGGAGTTTTTGGAATCTTAAAACATTGTTTAAGACATTTCATGTCAATTATTTCACATTTTTTAAAAAATTATCCAAGAAAACCTAGGGTAAATTAGGCTAACTTGAAACGTAAACTTTTTTATTTTAAAAGAGACACCCTGTATGATTTTACATAATCAAATAGAAAATTAAAAAACATTTTGATTGATGTAATTATTCCCTATAAATAAATTTAATAATTTTAGAGATCTAATGTAGACGTAAGAATTAATAAATGCTTAAATGTAAATGAAGGCCACTTTGAATATTTAGTAATAAATTAGTAATAAAAATTGTTAATTAAAATATTGTTGGTATATTAAATTGTTACAGTTACGCATTCTTTTTGTTATTAAAATATTTCATAAAATAAATTTTATATTTTATTGTTTTCAATGAGCTTCATCTAGTTTACATTCTAAAGCTTTGTTGATTTTTTTTTCAAAATTAACAAATACTGTTGTACTATTACTTTTAAATTTTAAAAACGTTTAACTTGTCTATATTTTTTGAAATTCACTGACTGCTTTTTTATTAGTAATTTTGTTTACAAAATACTTAATTACTTAACAAATGGTTTATAACAACCTGAAAAATTAACGCCATTAAATTTGTAACAATACCTAACAGATTACATGGTAACCACAGATACTGTCACCCGTCAAAGGTTTATTGGTACAAAATAATATTTAAAATTTTAGAAATTGTTAAATATCTCTGAAATTATTAACTTAACTATAGGACATAGTTACATTAATACAGAAGTTTTTCTATTTGATTAGGTAAAAACATACTGGGTGTTAACATTTAAAATTAAAATGTTATAACGTTTCAAGTTAGCCCAATTTGCCCTGGGTTTTTTCGGGTAATTTGTTAAAAACTGTTAAAGAATAAACAATTTCAAATCGATATCTTTTTTCGTTCCCCAGAAACTTCCAATGGACCACGAATGTAAAACACCCTGTATATCAAGTGATGTTTTTTAGGTTGTTATATCACTATAGATTCTAAAGCAATATATAATCGTCAAACTAAAAGATGAAGATTTGTTTTCAACATATATTTATTATATAATAACCACAAATTTGTTTTATTAAAAAAAAATCAAAAATTAAAACCAGAAATATTTTTTTTTACTTAAAAAAATAAAAATTATTATTTTCTTTAAGTTTAATTTATGTATTATGTAAAAACATACAATATTTGAAAAAAAACAATTATTTATAACAAAATAGAGAATTAAAATAAGAATGGCTGTTTAAAAAATTTAAATAAGGTGATTTCGTGAAACGGTGAGACACGGGTAGGTTTTTTAACCTTTTTTTTTAAATCTGTTAAAAATTTTCATTGAAGGAAAATCGTGTTGAACTGTGTAATCATCATAACAACAAATAATTTCAGAGAAGATTGTTGTGAAGTCGGTAATTACAAAAATATATAATTTAATCAAAAGTTTATTTAAGGTATAAACATACATTTTTCCAAAATAATCTTATTATCTATTTTAAGTTGTAAAAAATATCGAGTTTTATTTGTTACTACATTTGTCATTTGTTTTATCACAATGTATACTTTTTAAATATGTTTTTAGATAGCAGAACCAGATTAAACTTTTCACAATGTGTCTAGTGTTTTTAATTATTTTTTGTTTTTATGGAGGATTTTATGAAAAGTTTAAACAATATACCCATGTAAATAAAATACGTACATAATTTACTAGGATTAATGTTGTTTGTTTATTTTATATTGTTTTTACCTGTGTAAATATTAAATTGAGTACAAAGGAAATAAGTAATTTTTGAAAGCAAATGATCGTTAAATGTTGAATTTTTTAATAAAATCTTATTGTAATTATTATATATAAATAATGAATTCTAGGCAAAATGCCTTTCGTCAATTATCATAGGCCATTTGCACATTTTGCATATTCTTAGTGCAATTTTTGCCTATTTAACCTTTTTTCCGACTTAAAAAAATAACTAAAATGCAAAAACAGTTATTTTTTTGTAGGTATAGTTATTAAAATAATAGTTTACGAGAGATAATGCAGACTATTATTCACAAGGATGAGGTTAAATCATTCGAGTGAATAATGCGCATAATCTCGAGTATAATAATAATAATAATAATAATAATAATAATAATAATAATAATAATAATAATAATAATAATAATAATAATAATAATAATAATAATAATAATAATAATAATAATAATAATAATATTA